CCAGTGAGCAGTTGTGTGGGTGTATCCTCAATAGCTGGGCTGTCAGCGGGTAAAGTCGGTGCCTGGTTTCAGACGGTCCAGATGCGGCCTGTCATACGGCTGGGCTGGGCGGGTATGCCTGTGCACACTCGTTCTCCGTGTCGCGGGTGAGGACGTCTGAGCCTGCATAGCAGCCACACCGTGGGTTTTTTCCATATGTAGTTCGTCATCCCTCGTCCCCCCTCCACCCATAAAATTGTGCTCAAGAATACAGCGTACCCTATTACACCTGGTCAGTAAAGTTGAGCCCAGTAATAATCATCCTTTACGAAATACATTATCACTTCTTTCAACCCTTTGCCCTATCGTTTTTTTTGATGCATGGCTGCAGATGGCCTGTTTTTTGTGTATCAAATTACTGACCCATTTATCTGTCTTTATGGAGGTAATAGCCGCTCGTATTTGCGACTGAGGCCGTGCAGCTCTGCCGTCTCTCCCGACCCCCAGTAGTTAACCCAGCATACCAACCACCGTCCACAGCCCGGCCTGACCCTGTTCCCTGTTTCAGGTGCGGTCCATTCTGCTGCGCGGCTTCGACCAGCAGATGGCTAACCTGGTGGGCGAGCACCTGGAGAAGCGCGGCGTCAAGTTCATCCGGCAGTGTGTGCCCACCGAGCTGCAGCTGATAGAGGAGGGACCGCCGCGACAAGTCAAGGTGTGTGTTGAAACTTTTGCTGCCCTAGCTCCCGGGCGCTGTTCTGTGTAGGTTTTTAGCTGCATGCTGCCGGTTTCCCAGATAAGGGAGTAACTTGCTTGCTGGCGTTTCTCGGCTTCTCATTGGTTAACCCCCACGCCGCGATAATTTATCAATGAGAAGCCGGAAAGCGCCAGCAGGCAGCTCACTAACAAAAAAAAAAGCGACCAAAGAACTCTGCGGCCGCTACCGCTGCCGCCGATTTGTCTGCTCTGTGTCTATGTGGGGTAAGGGTCGCCGCTCACTTAGCCAGCCGGCGGCGTAAAGGGTCGCCCTACCAGCCGCCAGCCCGCGGTGGTCTGCTGGCCGCGTGGGGAGCGGTCGATTGGTGGCGTCTGTCTGTTTACTTTCACCGCTCAGCCACCGCCGTAATGTGATGGCCGCTGGTAATGTAATGGGCGGCTGCTCTGCGGTGGGATGGGCTCTGCGCTGACCGTTCATGCCTGACTTTATCTGGCTGGCTGGATGTCTGTCTGTCTGTCTGTCTGTCTGTCTGTCTGTCTGTCTGTCTGGATGGATGTCCGTCTTTCTGTTGGTATATTCGCATGTCTCTGGCTATGATTCTATGACTGTCAGTGTGTCCGTGTTTTTGCTTGTCTGTTTGCTCTCTCTCTCTCTCTCTCTCTCTCTCTCTCTCTCTCTCTCTCTCTCTCTCTCTCTCTCTCTCTCTCTCTCTCTCTCTCTCTCTCTCTCTCTCTCTCTCTCTCTCTCTCTCTCTCTCTCTCTCCCTCTCTCCCTCCCCCACTCTATCCCTCTCACCTCTCCCCGTGTCCTCAGGTGCTGGCCAAGACCACCGACGGCGAGGTTGTGGAGGGCGAGTACAACACGGTGCTGTTCGCCATCGGCCGGGACGCCTGCACAGACAACATCGGACTGGACAAGGTCGGCGTCCAGCTCAGCCCCAAGTACGTACAAAGACCTTCGAGATAGGAGGATTATGAACAGCGCGAAGGGATAACTGGGGGCATACGCGCGTGATGAAGACTTCAGTGATAACCGTCATATCGGCAGTTTCCGTCTCGTGATAGCTCAGTAATGAGAGCTCTGCTAGCGCAGGGTATTAATGCGTGCCGGTGTGTCTCGACTTCACTAGCTCCACCTACCTGTGTGGTGTCAGTTGTGACCTGACACCCCTCCCCACCCCCCCCCCCCCCCCCATCAGGGACGGTAAGGTGGTGTGCACACCGGACGAGAAGTCGACCGTCTCCAACATATACGCCATCGGAGACGTGGTGAGCGGCAAGCCGGAGCTGACGCCGGTGGCGATCCAGGCCGGCCGTCTGCTGGCGCGCCGGCTCGTCAACGACGCCTCCATCCTGACCGACTACGCGAACGTGGCCACCACCGTGTTCACGCCCATGGAGTACGGCTGCATCGGCCTCTCTGAGGAGGACGCGATCGCCCAGTTCGGAGAGGACGACATCGAGGTGTACCACCAGTACTTCACGGCACTGGAGCACACGGTGGCGCAGCGGGACGAGAACGGCTGCTACGCCAAACTGATCTGCTGCATCAGCCAGGAGGTGAGAATTGTGTAGGGAGGATGAATTATAAGGGTATAAAGTGGAACTTGGATGAGAATATGACGTAAGTCAGTCGATAGAATGCGAAGTATGTTTCAATGAGGAGAGTGTGATGTGGGCGAGAGCATTAGAACACTTCCTTATTTTGCGCCTACCGACTGCTCGGAGCTGCTCAGTCTTCTGTGCTGTCGGTCCGTCGCCAGTCGTAGTTTTGCGCGGACGGCCGCCGCTGTCCCTTTCCCTCCTCCGTCTAATTGTTCTGCTTCTGTTCTCTGTTTCCAGTACAAGGTGGTCGGGTTCCACATCGTGGCGCCCAACGCCGGGGAGATCACCCAGGGCTACGCCGTGGCCATGAAGCTGGGCGCTCGCAAGTGGGACTTTGACGCCACCATCGGCATCCACCCGACCGTGTCAGAGGTAAGATGGTGACCCTCAATTCATCGTGATTATAGCTGGCTAGGGTTGGCTTATGGGGTCAATAATTATGAAGCCGTTTCTTACTAAAACCAAAGACAAGCTTTTTCACTCGTATTTATTTCGTGAGACCTTTACTAGTCACACAAGGGCGTTATTGGAGCTGACGTATTTTTTTGTTCTTGACCAATGCCGTTATTACGATAATATGCAGTCTTGTTTGCCGCTGCGACTGTTGTCTGACACGGTCCATCTCTCGGCAGAACTTCACAACGATGAACGTCACCAAGAAGTCTGGCGCCGAGAGCAAGTCCTCCGGCTGCTGAGGTTAAGCTGGCTACTGGGCCGGCGGCCGGTGCGCCTGTGCGCCGCTGCCGGCCCAGTAGCTGATTGGGCGGTGACGGAGCGTCTGCCGTGTGTCCAGCCGTGCGCGGCGGGACGCCGTATGACGGCGCGGCCCCAGCCCTGTCTCAGGAGGGCCGCGCCCGAGGAGAGCAGCGCCCTCACCGCCCCCCCCCCCCCTACCGACACCGCCCGGCGCGCGTGTCCCCCGCTCCCCGCGCTCAGGGCCGCCGGCTACCGGCGGAGCGTGGCTCTGCGGCGCGCCCGCCTGTTACACAGAGCCCGACTTCTGGCCGGAGCCGTCCACAGTTACGATTGGTCGTTGGATTCCGCTCGTGTTGTCCGGGTCTGATTGCAGTGAGCTCGTGGCACCGAGTGTCTCAGTTGTGATTGTGATTGGCGGCGCGGGTCTGAGCGCCCGGCGCTGTCTGGGCCGGCCGCCGCTGCCGGCGGGTACCGGGGCCAGCCCTCCGCTGTGCCGAGAACAGGCGCCCGGCCCGACTCCGGCCCGCGGCCGGCCCCCGAGTAATTATGTAGGTTGATTTATCAGATCGCCGCCGGTACCTCCCAGTGACACATAATAATGTGAGCGCGTTTGCGTGTGTCCATCGATTCACTATGCCGAAAGTTGAGATGCGCTGTGTAGTTCACCGTCATCTGTGAATTTGAACAGAATGCCGCCTTTTCGAGAACCGGTGTGACTTGGCTGGCCTGGCTGGCCCGGTTCTGTTCACGAACTGTAGCCTCTGCTCTCAGTCTGTCCACTGAGCATTGACGCTCTGTTATATTGGTACTGTCAATAAAATTGCATAGGATATTTATGTCGAAGTTTATGCCTATATATACCTACATTTTGAATTATCTGTATTATGTGTGTTTCATTGTACTTGCCGTATAGTTATGAGTTCAGGTGCATCGGCACTCGGCAGTTGAGCTTCATTCTTTATCTTAGAAAAGGCCAGGCCCTTGGCCTCTATAGATGACCTTGGAAAAGGCTTTCATTTTGACGTTATCTCCGGAGCGTACCCGAATCAAGCCAATCGCCTTTCTCCCTTGAAAGTAGATGGTTGGAATAAACTGCGTTATCGTGCGAAAATGAAACTCAACACGGCAATGGACATGTCTAACTGATCCGTCATGTAGAAGTGAGGAATGTGAGAGATGCACATTGCACAAGACACCGCCTTTCGACTCCGCGTGCTAAAATTCCTGTAGTGAGATTTTATATGGTAGCATTAGCTTGAGACATTTACGGCGTGCCTGCGACGATAAGTAATTTCAGGATTTTGCTGAATATCAGCAATAGTATTCTCAAGGCCCTAAATACAAGGTTGCACGGACTTATTTCTACTAAACCTACCAGAATATAGTTTCACGGTTGATTATTTAAATAATTATTCAATCAAAATTTCTTTATTACTATCTCATAATCATTTATAAGCAATTTTATAAATCAACTTTCAATTTGCTTGCCTTTTACTAGCAAAATAACTTTTCTAGTATTGGGTCAACATAGTGGTGTAGCAGTAGGAACCACATCTGGCAAAACCCCAATGCCTACATACAGCAGAAAAACAGCCACCAGATGTCGCCACAGTCGCCACTTGGTCGCCACACAGATGTCGCGCGCGTCGCTAATCGCCACACTACCGATTTCCATAAGGACGCATATGTACGGATATGTATAGGAAAGTCGCCCTTAAGGATTACGCTTGCATCCTTTGCTTATGAGGTCGGTGGTTGGAAATTGGGAGGGACTCAGCTATTTTCGACCACGGATATGCCTTTATCACATGATGAGGAACATGCTGATAAGCGTTTTATGTGTCATAACAGCACACAAGTATTTTTAATCATTTTTCAAAAATAGCCGTTCTGCCGTATCTTTCAGTGCAAGGTGCCGTCGGTCATCCCCGACGTGACGTCACGCCGGGGATTTCCAGATTTTCCTACTAGACTTCGACGCCCCCTGAGTATTCTATGACCGTGGCTGAATATATATTTTCTTTTGGAAACTTCTAGGGGGTAACGTTATTGGGTAATATTTAAAATATAAGCTCTAGTTTTTAAACACAACTACTGACCACTACTGACGACAGATTCAGAGTCCCAATGTGATATTTTTCATAACAACTAAGCTGAAGGATGAAGAAGAATGGGGGAAATGAAGACGTCATCCTGCGGCCCACAATGTAAGAACTAAAGATAATTTGATGTTTTGTTTCAAAACATTGTACATGTTAAGGTCTGCACCCTGCACCGCTGACTTAAGTTTTGCTCAAGTTTTGCGTCGTTCTACGTCGTCCGGCCAAGCTGAAGCCAATCATGTTCCATAACCACGGCCGAGCCCCCGGGCCGCTGACCTTGATCGGGATTGGCCAGACGACAGAGAATCTTTGTCATCCAAGAGACATCAAACGCAGTTAAATCTTGTTGAAATTGCCTGTGGAAATTTGGAAATTTCCATACTTTTCACTTTTCAGTCTGGTACTAAGGTCAATAGGTTCTGCTGCTGTTGGATGATATGTCACATTTTTGTGGTGTAGTTTTCAAGTCACATGAGTTTTTCTGTTGTTTTCAGTGAGTGGACAAGCAACAAGCCGGATTCCATCAATCATGAATATGTGGAGTATGGACTGAGGGAGGCTGTGCGCTCAGTTTTTGGGGAGGTATGTGTTTTACCCCGCGTTTGATGTCTCTCGGACGGCGAAGATTCTACGCCGTCCGGCCAATCACGTTCCATATTCCACAGCCGAGCCCCCGCTGACCTTGAACGGGATTGGCCGGACAACGTAGAATCTTCGTCGTCCGAGAGACATCGAACGCGAGGCTAATCTCTTTCATGCCTACAGCCCTATGCATAATCTGGACAGCATAATTCACACCAGTGTTTTGCTATACCGCACGGGACTGGCATATGAACTGAAATATATTGTTAGCTCCAAGGCCGTGTAGTGTCTCAGAATTTGTTGATTTGGGTGGGACAAGGCATTCAAATTAGAATAATTTTCAGCACCCACCTTCATTTTTTTTAGAACAATTCTCCACTCCCAATTATACCAAGAAAATATCTGTCTGTATGGATAGTTAGAATATATGGTTAACCCATGGTTAGAATCCATTGTGTCAATGGTCACATTGGATTCTATCTTTGTATAGAAATGCATACTATCTATCCCTTTTCTTCTCTTTTTTTTGGGGGGGGGGGGCTAATCTGACCAGCAATTGACCACTCTAATCCCCTTCTTGGTGAGTAATTTTCTCCTCTGACACCCAAGCCAAAATCTAATTGTGGGACACTGAGGCTGTGTCCATTTTGTAATTTTTGCCACCTTCAGGTTTTGTTTTTCTCACCCTAGACCAGCTGAGACTGGCCGCACACTGACCACTATCGTCTTTCTCCCCCAGTTTGGCGCGTGCTCGCCGCTCTCCGTTACTTCCTACGACGTCTCGGCGGGCCGGTCTATCGTCTCCGTGCCGGCGGACTTCGCACGCCGCGTGGCTGCCGCCCTCACCCTGGCCACCGAGCTGCTGGGCTCGCCCTGTGTCATCCACGTGCACGGCGAGTCGCCCCACCAGCCGACGTCGAGACGGTACTTCGCCTGAAGGTGGCGCTAGCTGTAACCTGTGATACGCCCGGCTCGGTGATGGCACACCGATCGGCGAGGTGGCGGTGCCATGTCCGGCCCAGGAAACCCACAGAGGTGCGGTGATGGTCGGTAGTGTGACAAGTGCGTCCTCTGAGCCGCCGGGGTTCACACCAGACCCGATAGTGGCCTGCTGCGCTCCGACGGCGATCGGCAGTCACCAAGTGACCGTTCACACGTGACTGATGTGATACGGCGGACTGCTGGACACCATATGCCAGGTGGGAATGTCGCTCACACAGATCGTGACTCATCGCAACATGTGTTGAATCGAGGTGACGGAACACGATAATTTCACACCATCATTACTGCTTTTCAGCATTTAGATGTTTCATTCATGTACCTATGTTGATATGCCAATATATTTAATGCTCTGAATCGCTAACTACTGTAGAACCACTGGTTGTCACATAAAGATTATCAATAATTGCGTATGTCCCAACGTATCCTTGTGGAAATTGTATTTTGATCCATTTCATTATTTCCGGCTATTCATCACCCTTTTCACAAGATCTGAATATGACACTGACGATGATTCTAACACGCTGCTCGCTGTGCAATCATTTCATGATTGATTCATCCATTTCTCTCATTACGGTCAAATCGCCCTCACGAACACGGAGGCTTACCTATACCAGTCGTCACATACGTATGGCGTCATACTCGGGTATGGCTGTACCAGGCAGCTCAGTATACCTGGCTCTAATAGGTGCGGTCCGCTACAGATCAAACAGTGGACGACGGAGCGGGCAGTCTTGACCTTCTTTCTATAATTACAGCCTGGTTTGCCTTCTCCGTTCGATCATCTCTTGTCGATAAAGAATCGATTACCCCGCGCTCGCAGCACTGTCGCCTCTAATATGGCTCAGAAGCATTTTCCATTTATCTCTCCGGCACATACAAAGTCCTTGATGTTGAAGAATCTGACCTTGCCTGTGTCAAGCGCGGCCGTTTCGAATCCCTCCCAATCGGCCGGATACATTCTGACAATGCCATAGATTTTCTTTGCCGTGGACACGAACACCTTGGTCGGGTTACGGGCGAACTGTGCCGCGCAGTAGAAGTAGCTCATGTCGGCGTCCGGGTCGAAAATCTCCACGTTGAAGAGCCGGCAGCCGCTGGCGAACCAGACTCGCTTCAGGTCGTTATCGGGACTTTCGGACAGTGTGATCGAGAGTGCTGCTCGCGAGCACGGCAGCGACGCCGGTACCTCTGTCTTCCAGATGCACGAGATGGCCCTACTGCGCTCGGTGAGCATTGTCTTGAAGGTGACGGTGCGCTCGAACTGCGCCTGCGTGGTCACCACGTCCTGGTTGCAGGCGGGCGGCTGCGCCTTGCGCGTGCTGCACGGTTTCGCCGGACAGCCGTATTCGCTGTTGACGAGCGCGGCGTCGCTGTCGGAAGGCGCGCTCCAGTCGGCGCCGATGGTGGGAGACAGCATCAGACCGTCCTCGGCCTCGTGCTCCGTCTTGCCCAGGAACACACTCTCGCCATTGTAGCTGAGCCCGTACGTGTCAAAGTGCATGACGGAGCCGTAGTCGTAGGGGCACAGGTCGTAGCCCTTGTAGTTGAGGTAGAGCACGTCCTCCAGGGCGGTGTTGTGGTACTGGATGAACAGGTGGTCGTCCCGGTCGGGCCGCGAGTGCTGGTGCGGCAGGCCGATGACGTGGCCCAGCAGGTGCACCACCGTGCCCTTGTCGCACAGGCTGCTGACGGACATCTGCATGTTCTTGGCGTGGTAGCCAACCTGGGCGTAACACCCGGTTCCTCTGAATATGCTCAGGACGTTGCCAGTAGTCTCCGAGAACTTGATGCATGTTTTCTTTGACCATTCTTTCATAGCCGCTATCACCATTGACTTATCCGGGTATGGTTTGGTGAACTTGTACTTCACAACCTTATCGGGCCATTTTTCTTTTATGAGGATATAAATGTTTCTTTTTAAGTAGCCTGTCTTAGACCAGCGGGCCTTTTGCGCCGGTGATAATACCATATCCCCTTCAAATACAATCTTACGGACGTCCTCCACATGCATGTTTCTCATAATGCGATCTGTTGGTGTCAAAAATTCTCTTCTTGCGACCTCACAATTTTCCTTCTCTTCATCACTAAAGATATCTACTGAACGACTTGAGATCTCACAAGCAAACAAGCAAATACACAGAATGTACAAAAGATACATCAGGCACTTCCGGTTGCCTTACAAACGCGTTATTATAGCAGAGCATACGACTGAACTAGTTCCAAGCAATGCATTGGTGAGGGTTAGTCATGGTCTTAGGGTCGTTGTGATCAAGGTCGTGATCTAATTTTCCCATACCTGCCGAATGCACTGACGGGGCTGGTCTAATGTGATCGTCAATTATTTTCTTGGGTGAAGTTCTTAACCTCTTGATCTTTGCCCAAAAGCACGTATGGAAGCAAGGCAATGAGCACTGAAAGAACTTGCAAAGGGAGTTGTCGGTCGAAGCCAGGGTCGAAGCCGTGGAAGCCAGCCGAACCGAAGCGTATCTTGAGCGTATCAGACCTTGCAGTGAAAATTAGCAGTATCACGTGCCTCGTCTGCAAAGGGATGCTTTGCAGAGTAAATGATCAGTGGGTGATGCGTTCAAAGCGGTGTCAGTCGCTTTTGATCAAATATGTTTGATGGGTAATGCGAAATGAATCATTTACGACGTTAGTTTATTCCGGTTTGCCTTTCAAGAAATTGCTTTTCAAGTACTTTCAGAAATTAATTTAATTACTTTCAATCCGTTTGAGATCGTGGCGCTTGTCCTGTTAATGGTGCTCAAAGATGTGAGACAACTTTCAAAACATACAAAGACATAACGTTTAAAGTGATAAATGTAGGTAATTAAATTGATGTCCTACGGTTTAGCCAGTTCACAGACTCCACGAATAATCTCCGAGTGACTGTAAGGCTAAGGCGTCATTTCTTTCCGTTGTTGCTCGTACTTTTTACCAGGTATCAGTATGGCTGCATCAGGGGCTGTATCACGTGTGAGAAATGTAAAAATATTGCATGGTCTGGTATCAAAGGGATGTGACAATTGATACTTGCTCGACGGACGGCGAGAATTGACAGAGGTGGTAGCACCTCATCCTTCAATCCACCATCAGCTGCTAACATCATCTCAATCTCGCCAGGCACACTCGCATCCGTCAGAATGCACCATCATACCCCACACATTCCCGGGGGTAGTGCGGGGCCGGTACTGCGTCCCACCTCTAGGTCAGTGCCGCGGGCGAGGGCCAAGGGCCGGCCGACCGCAGGCGGGCAGCGGCGGCCGGCCGCGGCAGGCGTCTGCGGTGCGCGGCGGAGCTGTCGGGAGAGCGGAGCAGGCGCTTCTTACGGAGCTGGGGACAACTGAGCTGCAGGATTGTAAACCAGGTGAGACCGTGAGCTGACGGACCACGCGTAAGGTTAGCACGTGAGCATAACAGTTGGGACCCCGGCCTCACTAACCACGGATCGGGTAAAACCGTGCGCCGAGGGACCACAGGCTGGATAGGGCACAATTGGTGCAGAGATAGTGTGAGTTGGCCACCTCCGATGATCGTGAATTGTTCCGTGTTCGTCTTTTACTTGTGTCCTCCCGTCAGTCTGCCCGCGTCACGCGTGTTTGTCTGTTCGTCCGATCCCGTGCTGTTTCATCCGTCCCAAGGGTCGTTATAACAAGACCTTTGATCCCCAGTGCGAGGTCCACCAGATTGCCTTCTTGCAACGACGCAGCACAATGTTACATTGCGTTTTCTATCAATATGCCAGCCTACTGGAGCAATGTTTCACCTGATTCATTGGTCAATTGAATTTGACTGCCAGAGCTGCTCACTGCATAAATCCTGGAGCTGCGCTGACACATCTTTCTATAAAAAACGCATATTTCGCAGGACGGTCCCCGTCGGCCACCGTTCCATCTTCCGTCTTCCGCCGTCCTTTCCGTTCAGCACGCACTGTGTTAGCCGTACCGCGAGTGTCTCTGGTGTGCGGCCGCATCACGTCACGTCCTGTGGCGGTGACGCGACGTGCCGTCACATCCCTGCTGTCAGGGGACTGGCGCCGCACGAGATATCGCCGCTTCCTGCTGACTGGTCGCTTCCTCCAGTCAGGTCTCAGTGTCAGTGCCGTGCGTCCTGCCTCGCTTGTCCTTTGTCGGAGTATCGTGCACTGTGTCTCATCCCCTTCCTCAGCGTCGCAAATCGGGTCTCATCCCCTGCCTCGGCGTGGCACGTCCTCTCGCGTCCCCTGTCTCAGCGTCGCACGTCGTTTCTCATCCCCTGCCGCCTCAGCGTCGCATGCTGCGACTCGTACCGCCGCAAGCCGTGACTCGTGCCGTGTCTTAGCGTTGCACCGCGTCTCGGCGTCTCTCGCTGCGCATCTGACGAGCCCGACCACACAGGGCGCGGTGTGTGTCGGCACATAATCAGCGAACGGCCGGCCGGGACGGAGCGGCGCCCCGATAGACAGCGGACATGGCACCGGTCGGGGCGCGGTCCTGGATGCTGCTGGCCGGACTGCTGGCAGCCGTGCTGCTGCTGGCCGGCGTCGGCCAGCTGGTCTGCGGCCTCTACCTGCTGCTGAAGGCGCCGCGGCCGGCGGTCAACGGAGCCACCATCGCAGCGGGGCTCTGGGTGAGTCGAGAAGACATAAGTATTGAGAGTCTGGAGAGTCACGATTCGCAAATTCCGTACTTTTGGGCACGGGATTAGCGGGTTTTTAATTGACGTGGGCTATGGGGCAATCGAACTGTGTGGGGAACAGCTAGCAGAGCCTGGATGAGTCAGATTGTGAATGTGATATCGCCAGTTTGGATGAGTCAGATTCTCTGCCGTCCACCGCCTCAGTCTGGATGAATCATATGTTTGAGTACCGAGTTCAAAACCAGAGTGAGTGAATTTGAGCCGCTGCGAGCGCACAGTGCATCGATAGAACTGCTTATTAGGATTAGTCGTGGACGTCCTGTCAATAATGCCTCACTTGGGACACCTCGGCGGTCGTGATCGCGTCCATAGTATATGCCAGTAGGTGCGTCAGTCAGTCTGTCCCCGGGATCCCCCACTAGTCGTGTCCATGTCCCTAGACCTCAGAAAATGTCCCTGTACCCACGGGACACCTCAATAAACGCCCATGTCTACGGCACGCATCAATAACTGTCCGTATCCCTGGGACACCCCTGTGGGGACCCGTGTCCCTGAGACATCCGTGTCTCTCCGAGACACTTCAACAACCCCCCGTGTCCGCAGGACGTGCTGGCCGGTCTGGTATCGGTGATGCTCTGTTTCTCGGGACCGCTGCACGCCTCGCGCCGCTCTCAGCTGCAGCTGGCCGCCTTCTGCTCGGCGCCAGTCGTCAACGCCGCCCTCGGGGTGCTCCTGGGCCTGGCACCGAGCCCCCAGCAGGCCACCGACGTCGCTCTAGGTAACGAGAGACGCTAGTGGAAGCGGGAGCGGTCTTGGTCATTTCTAAACTCGACACCATGTCAATACTAGGGGTCAATATATGCCTTGAGGAATTGTTGACTGACAGCTTGCTATGGGGTCTATCTAAGAATAAGTGCCCACTAGCTCTACTCCTGTTAAGTGTAGATTTATCTTGCCAACGTTATTCTGTTCATGTCTCCGCAGTTTGTCTCATCCTAGCGGTATCGACGGCGGTGGCGGCGGCGGCCTCCTTCATTGCCGGGAACGTGGTGTTCTGCATGCAGCTGGCCTACGAGCAGTACCGACCCGGCACGCGCACCTGGCAGTCGCCCAAATCGACCTCCTCCGGCACTTCGAGCTTCATGTTTTCTCAGGTAAGCCTTTGGATGGAGCTGGTAGATAGTGGTGCTCCTTGTTCACCGATCAAAGATTTCAATACTCAGTCATGTAGACCACGTACTTTTTTGGCAACTGAACTGATGAAATACAGAAGGCGGTGGTTGGCTTTATTGGAAGCAACTACAGTAGTCTAGTCTCATAAGTCCACGCTGTACCCGCGTATGACTGTGTTTCATGTTTCAATAGTGCAATTTGCCGTGTTTCCAGAGCCAGATGACGCAGAAGCCGGGCGCGCCGGACCTGTGGCTGACCACCCCGGCCCCGCTGGCCTCCTGGGTGTACCGCACCCAGTCCAGTGTGGAGACAGCCCGCTGTGAGACCCCGCTGGACGCGCCGCCGCCTCCCCCTCCGCCGCCGCCGGCAGCGCCGCCCAGCCGCTCCAGCTGTGCCAGTCTGTCGGTGCGCACCGCTCAGCGCTCGGAGCCGGGCAGCGGGAGCTCGCAGCTGCCGCGCTGTCTCAGCCTGCTCAGTGCCATCTACGGGCCGAGCCGCGGCGGCTGGCCGCCCACCGAGCCGCGTCCGGTGCGCTCCTGTAGTCTGCTCGAGGTGCGACCCTCCCCGGCGCCGACTCTGACCGAGTGCAGCTCTCCGGCCCGGCCGTTCCCGCCGGCCCCGGTACCGCTGTGTGCCAGCCCGCTGCCGACACCGGTCTCCGAGCGCCCGCCGCCGCAGACGCCCCTGGCCGGCACCATCGGCCGGCTGACGAGCGCGCTGAGTAGACTGCACAGCGACCCCAACTACCGGGCCTCGCGCGAGCTGCAGGAGGCGCTCGAGGCGCTGGAGGCGCTCCAGGTGACGCCGGGCCCCGGGGACCGTCCGCAGCCGGCCGGCGCCGCCTCTCCGGCCGTCTCCTCCGGGTACGGCTCCCCGGAGGGCGCGCCGGAGCCGGAGCAGCCGGAGCGGCGCAGTGTGGTGCAGCTGGTCAGTCTGCTGGAGGCCGGCCCGGTGGGACGGAGGGCCGACACGCCGCTCAGGAGGCCGACAGTACCGCCCCCGCCCCCGCCGGGAGCCGGGGACCGGCCGGCAGAGCCATCAGAGCAGGTGAGGACACGGGGGCGACTACGGACCTAGTCTGTTCACGTAAAGAGCAGTCTCAAATAGCGGCTCATGGAGATCGGTGAAGTTTTTTGACAGGGCGCCTCGCTCCTCTGAGGCCACCGATGCAGCGTCTAAACAGCCAGGAAATGTCAATGTCAATAATGAATAGCCAAAGACACTGACGAGTGACGACTGTATTCTTTTTTTTCAGCCGAGTCCCGCTTCTCCCAAGCCGGCTGCGGAATCGGTGACCGGTAAGGCTCCGGGACCTCCCGTAGTGATCGACTCTGACTGCTAAGTGTGCTGTATTTTATGTCTCAACATGTTCAGTTATCTCCCGTAATTATTTGTCCCACCGACTTAATTGTATACATAATACGTTCTTGCATTTTGTTGAGGTATCGTGCATTGACAAGGGGCATTGTTTTGTTAGGTTCCCAAATATAGCACGTGTTATTTGATGCACGTCGTGTATCCTCGCGTGTCCGATGCTGAAAGGTTACTGGCTTACTGCGCTTGGTAGTTGGTCCATTTATATATGACGTGTATAATTACTGCTGTGTACAGAGGCATTGACAGCTGACCAAATATACGAACTTGCTAACTCCGCGCCTTTCGATGGAGTCGTCTACTAATTGCTGATTCAGTACTGGGCGGTGTTTCACGGGACGCTGCTACCACGCTGCTATCAAATTGCGCGAGCTGACGTCACACTTGTGGTAGTGTTGGAGCAATGGGCCTGTTGATGTTTCCATGGAAACCCAATTTGACACGTGTAAAAGCAGCGTGCTGCTATCACCGGTGAAACAGGGCCCTGATGTAGTATCACTAGCATGCAAAAGGGTGATCAATGATGAACATGATTTATTCCGCATCAATGAAGCGCAACGTCATCGGTACAAAACAACACGGTATGAATATGCGGAATATCCACAATGTACATGATATAAAATGGAAGTCTGACATCCGCTATGACGTGTCAGCCGTCCGAATCCCTTACCCCATTCCCTCGAAGTCGCCGATCACAGTTCCCAGCGCTCATTTCTTCTTCTTTTTCTTTTTATTCGACTCTGTGGCCGAACTGTCACTCGAACTCGAGCTCGAACTGGACGAGTCTGAGTCGGAGTCTGACGAGCTGGAGTCGCTGCTGGAGCTGGAGCTGTCCGAGTCGGAGTCTGAGGAGCTGTCTGAGTCGGAGTCGGACCGGGCCGCCTTGGCCGCTGCCGCCGCCGCCTGCCTGTGAAACAGTGGACATAGGGGACGTTTGGCCAAAGACGGACGGTGGGGCTGTACCGGGATTTCCACGTGTCTATGACGGTCACGGAATTCGCAGGGAAGCCTCAAAGTACCCAAGCAACCTGGAATGCAGTCGCTGGCATATATTATGCTACCCATAAGCCATATTTATAGTCAGATACGAAAATGGCGATTCTTAATCAGATGCCCATTGAGAAAGGCATTGTCTACTGTCTCCACGGCGAATTACGGTCCAGACGCGTAAGAATATTCAGACAAACATCAACGTGTTTTCAAGAAGCCGTTGCTGCCGATATTTCTACTCCAACATTTCGGTCTCGTTTCGCGGACGATCGTTGCACGGTCAGACGACGGCGGTGCTGCCGCTCAATGCCACCACAAAACTACTTACATTTTCTCCAGTTTCTTCTTTTCCTCGCTCTCTTTCAGTCGCTTTTTCAAAGTTTGCGTTCTGGAGTCGCGGTGCACGTATTTGCGTTTACCGGTGCACTCGTAGGTCCAATGACCCTTCTCCAGGCATTTCTGGCATCTCACGCCTTCCGCTGAAGGTGCGCTGAAAATAACGAGACATTTGACAAGTGAACATGTCAGAGCCCTGGAGTAGGAGAGAGTGGATGACAAAACATCACAGATTTTTTATAGCAGAGCACAGCTGTTTTTCTAGTACCTTCTCTTTATTGACCAAGCACTGGTAACAGCATAGGGTTACATGTTTTATGACCCTTTCGCTCTGCCCCTGACACAAGATAATCAATGGCGTGTGTCCAATTGAACAGGGTGACAGTCAGACTTGTGATCAAGCTCAGTTGAGCCGGCTCAAAAATCAGCTCAGCTCATGAGCCGGCTCAACATTTTGCCAAATTGTTGAGCTGTGAGCTGAGCCGGCTCAGTAATGCATTGAGCTGAGCTGCTGTCTGAGCTGAGCTGAATGGGCTTGAGCTGAGCTGAGCTGAATGAGCTTGAGCTTGAGCTGAGCTGAGCTGATTGAGCTGAGCTGAGCGAGCTGAGCTGAGCTGAGCGAGCTGAGCTGATTGAGCTGAGCTGAGCTGAGCGAGCTGAGCTGATTGAGCTGAGCTGAGCTGAGCTGAGCTGAGCTGATTGAGCTGAGCTGATTTAGCTGAGCTGAGCTGATCCAGTTCTAATTCTTTTCAGTTCATGCTTGGAAATTAACTCAGGCTTTGATGCTTCAGCTATGAGCTAGCTATGGAGTGAGCAATTACACTGCCTTCGTGATCGCACTTAAAAATATCAAAACTCTAAAGAAATCAATAGTAATCACTAATCAAGCTTAATTTCTTTCACCCATATTGCATGGAAATTGGAAGACCAGGGTCTTGGCCAATTTACAGGCTAATACAGCCAGTCTCAAGTTTCAAGTCTGACTGCAAGATGAATACCTACTGTCAGGCTTTGATGCTTCGCCTTGACACTCTGCTCCGCAATGTACAATTCAGCATTCTTCACTTTGTTATTTAAGCAGTTATTTAAATTAATTTTATCAATAAGGGTTCTTACCTCTGCATAAAATATTTACAATTAGGAATTAGCAAATAAAGTTCCTCTTCGTTGGTTGAATGTGGGCTAAGCAACCATATCCTATTGAAAGTGGGGTGGGGCAGAGGCACTAACTGGAACTCTCATCTTCTAATGTCCATTACATGGGAAAAGCTCCCTTATTCACACGCTGACTATGAATTCTAATAGCGTTGACATTGCCTTGGTTGAGATCAGGGCGGTGTTATAGGTTTCACTGATAACAGCACGCTGCTATCACACGTGTCAAATGGGGTTTCCATGGAGATATAAACAAACTCTTATCTCCAAGTTCCAACACTACCCCAAAATGTAACGTCAGCTCCTGGCAGGGTGCCAACTGCCAAGAGCGGATGGCGGCGTGGGCGTGCTGCTCTCGGCCGTGAAACACCGCCTAGTTGAGATGATTCCATGACGTTTTTTTCGTCTAGAAGATTTTCGTCGGACAATTTTTCGTCCGCAGATTTTCGTCCGACCTTTTTCGTCTGTACATTTTTTCGTCCGTGCATTTTTTCGTCGGTACATTTTTTCTGAGCGGAAACTGAGCTGAGCTGAAATGAGCAGAAACTGAGCTGAGCTGAACGGGAACTGAGTTGAGCTGAGCTGAGCTGAGCGGAAACTGAGCTGAGCTGAGCGGAAACTGAGCTGAGCTGAGCTGAGCTGAGCGGAAACTGAGCTGAGCTGAGCTGAGCGGAAACTGAGCTGAGCTGAGCTGAGCGGAAACTGAGCTGAGCTGAGCTGAGCGTGAGCGGAGCGCAGCCGGTTTGAGCGGAATGTGAGCTGAGCTGAGCCGCGTTAAACTGAGCGGGAGCTGAGCGGGAGCGGATAAGACGGAGTTGAGCTGAGCGAGCTCACTTTTTTCTTGAGCTGTCACAAGTCTGGTGACAGTGAATGTATTGAGGACAAAGAAAATGGCCATCCTTTATTCCATAAGAAGCACATACCTCTTTTTGTTGAGGAACCCTCCTGCTCCCATAGGCATGATTCACCAGATGGTAGTACCTGCAATAGAGATGAAGATATCTAAGGTGGAGAAACATGACCCCAGCACCAATTGAACTGTAATCAACACACAAGATGAGGCAATCATTTGCTGTTGTGGCATGCATGCATACCTACATGCAGTGACACATGCATAGATACAAAAATATTTCTTTAAAACAGTATATGCCACTACCTGCCCACCAAGACATACCCTACCTACATATTAAAAATGAAAAATACTGACAAAATGATTGTGGACCAAAAACAAAGTTAAAATGTCACTAGCCATATAAATTGTAGGCTTGCAAATTTGTTGCAGGTAGGCATTTGGCTGTCATTACGCACGCCATCGGCATATCAATATGTACAGTCTGTCTTAAAAGTACCGCACAAAGTGACAGTGGATCCATCAAGCCTGACCGAGGAAGGGCCTGCTATAATTTGAAAGTCACCGAACCAATTGACCTGGCCGGAATGGACGAGGATGTCAAATGCTTTAGTGACTCAAATTTAGCAAACCCTTCCTCGGTCAGGCCTTGATGGATCCACCGTTACTTTGCGTGGTACTTTTAAGACAGACTGTACAATAGGACCTTGAGAGCATACTGATATTGTTTTGATATTGGGCTTCCCTATCTCATTTTAAACAACTTACTGTTGAGAAACTTGACATAGAATTTTACTCATTGATGTAAGCACAACTGTCTCAACCCAAACCTTCAGCTCAGGTTCATCATCTGAATCTACTTTGACTACCTATCTATTAAAAAGTTAAAACCAATGTTATTTTGAATTAAAATTCTGGCCGAGTTATATGCCAATCGAGACTACTGGAAAAATGTCAATTTTCTGTTGCAAGTTCGCTCTTGGATTTCACGGCACAAGCTTTAGCCAAGGCCCTAAACTTGCCCTAAACCAAAGCCCTAAACTTTGAGCTTTTGAGGTCGAGCACGTCAAGAGTCAAAGCCAGCACGCAGTGTATTTCCTCCTCCGAAATGTCTATTAAATCACTATAATTGTTCCACGACAAAATAATTGGTATGCACATAATTCAAGAGTATTTTAGGGTTTGAATGATTATTCTGACTTTTCAAGCCAAGATCCTAAAAGCACAAATAGGTATTTCATTAGAAGTGTCTTTTTAACTATCAAAGACTGCCGTAAAAAGAGGAACATATTTAGTGCAAAGTGGGAAAAAATGAGTGAAACCAAATTCATCGAGAAGCTTCGCTGACGACGATATTGGCGCGCCTATATTCTTCGATTGATATAGAAATTCTCAAATATTACGTCATATATCTCATATTGACGAATCAGCGTTACAGAAAAAGCTGTGCTTATGTCATACTTTTACTGAGAATGAAAGGCAAAATGGCGCATAGCGCGTGACTGGTAGTGTGCGCCGGGCCGGCATGCATTGTTCTCAAGGCCATCTATAGATTGTTCTCTGATTGTTCTCTAAGCTTTGGAATTTGGGCGTGGATGTTCCAAGGAGGGGTTTAGGAGCATAAAAAGCACTCCTTTTTGTTCAAAGGCTTCTAGGTGGTTTATTTATAATTGCTAGCTTGTAATTTCTTGATAACCATCCCAGCCTGGTAATTTCCAGTTTGTTGTAAATAGAATCGGAATACTCATAGTTTGTCGTCGCACAAGGATACCTTAAGTTTTTACCTTCTCATCATGGTAAGTCCTTCTGAGGGGAATATTATTGATGTTTGAAGAAACAGAGGGCATGTTAACTAATGTGAAAATTTCTGGCTGCATTTATTTTTGTGTACAACTGATCTATTGTGTGTTCCGACGGGCAGTTTTTTGTGGAATTTCCACCTGGGCCGCAGAATCCCCTTGGATTCCTCTCATGTTGTATATCAAATGGCCCCTTTCACTTGATCCCGCTGGATTCCTTGCATTTTGTGTCACCCGAATGGCTGTTTTAGTGAGGAATTCTTCAGTCTGAGAATTAAATGCAACAAATGGCCTGTCCTAATGCACAGAGCTAGGCTCATCCATGCTCAGAAAGCAATTGCTGGTGTGAAAAAAGTGGTAATCACAATGGATGATATCGCTTGTGGCTAGACCACTATATATCTATATAGTGGTCTATGTATATGTATATAGTGGTATAGGTATATAGTGGTCTATGCATGTGGTTATTTTTTGTGCATTGGGATTGAGATGTATGAATCCATGAAGAACAATCAGGCAGCAACTTTTCTGTTCAAAAAGCTGGCCTGAGAATTATGATCAGCCTCCAATCAAGTGTATATATTTTTAGCATTATTATCACCAGGAATGTGGAGCCTGAGATAGTATGCTGCCCATGTTTAGGTGTAGTCAGATGGGCTGGTGTAGACAAAATATCTATTTGGTGCTCACATCTGGTATGAGTATTACTGGATTGGTTGGAACTAAAAGCTTTTCATTTTAGAAGCTTGCAGTTTTAAAGAATTGTCATTTTGGTCCTCAATTTTGGTCCCAAAGAGAGAGAAAAAATCAGATTTGAAGAGCCAACTAGCTTCTCAAAACACCAAACCATATTACCAACTTGATTGTTTTTTCTTCTTTCTTTGACCTACTCAGGTAGAGATAAGCTAAAGCATTGAAGTACTAGACTAGTCTGGTTCTAGGCATGACATGCATCTTGGTGTTGATAAAGATAAGGTCAAGCATTACCAGGACCATTGCAGTCACCTAGTGGCTGAATTGAGTCTCCCTTGAATAATTCACAGGGTGGTGTGTTATGCTTGTTTCTCTGTCTCACTCCTATTCTTCTCAGGTCCAGATGACCTTACCAGGGCAAAACCATTGTCAGGCTAAAAGAATAAATTTCTCATATAATGAATTTGAAACTTTGCCTGATATTACTTAGCCTTTTGTGGTTCATTCTATCAGTGGGATTGAGTCTGAGTCATATTGAACAAATTAAAACACTATTCAGACAAAGATCTTGAGTCAGTTCACGACCTTTTCCAGGATTCAGAGTTGCCAGGTTCCCTTGATTCCCCTGATTCTCTCACAGCTTAGAACTGCTACCCCATATGACTGATTGTTAAACACAGTCATTGTCGTGCCTTGCAGGCCTCGCTGAACCCCGTCCATGTTCTGCGTGGCGGAGCCGAGGAGGAGAAGGCTGAGATCGCTCGGCTCTCCAGCTTCGTCGGCGCGATCGCCATCGGCGATCTCGTCAAGTCCACGCTCGGCCCCAAGGGGATGGACAAAATCCTGATCTCAGTCGGACGGAGCGAAGGTGAGTTGTATGTATGAGTATGAGTATGAGTTTATTGTAGAGACCATCCACGTTGTCGCGGTGATGCGCTGGTGCGTGCAGTCAGGATAACATGAGGCTCTGTGGTGTTACATGACAGTGATCATGTTTATTATTTTCGTGTTTGGCTGTCTGATTTGGTAGACGGGCTGGTCCAAAACTAAATTTTGGTGTAGGTAATTAATTGCCTACATTTAAGAGTTCACAATTATGCATCACATCAAAATAGTCGTTATTTTTCTGCCGTGTCATGCTTGTCGATCACGTCTGACCGTGTCGGCGCCGTTCTCGCTCGAGCAGGTAAGGTAGAGGTGACCAACGACGGCGCCACCATCCTGAAGAACATCGGCGTCGATAACCCGGCGGCCAAGGTGCTGGTCAACATGTCGTGCGTGCAGGACGACGAGGTGGGCGACGGCACCACCTCCGTCACAGTGCTCGCCTCCGAGCTGCTCAAGGAGGCAGAGAAGCTGGTCGGCATGAAGCTGCACCCGCAGAACATCATCGCCGGCTGGCGGCGCGCCACCGATATCGCCCGCAAGGCGCTGGCCGGCTCCACCGTCAACCACGGGTCAGTGGCAGTGGTTAGGAGAGATGAACTCTCACTGCGGGGGTAAAAGATGAGAGACTGACCTAGTCAGTGGAACACTTCTGGGCGGGGTTTGCCCTAGAGCACACTACGACGAACACAATGCAATGAAAGACTGATATAGCGGTGATCGGGGGCGGAGATGGGAAATGAAAGACTGATATAGCGGAGATGGGAATGCCGAGTCACTGGGCGAATCGGGTCAGGGCAATTGATTCTGTATTGCTGTTGTTGCTGTTTTTACCTAAAGCTCACAAACACCTTCACTGGCTCAAAGATAATGGGACTATAAATGCATGATAAGCCATCAAAGGAAAACATGTTTAGGAAATAAGTTCAGCTACACACGTGTGTTTTACATTTGTGTTTACTGTTTATATTCTCGGGCTTTTCTGCTAAACAGTGGATTTGAAATTCATTAAGTATATCCCGGCATTTTTTATTGTTCCCTGCTGGTCAGCCCTCGTCTTTATTCTAACACCATGTCGTCCGTCTGTATGTGTGAGCAGCTCGGACCCGGATAAGTTCCGGAACGACCTGATGAACATCGCACGGACCACACTAGGCTCCAAGATCCTGGCGCAGCACAAGGACTTTTTCGCCGAGCTGGCGGTGAACGCCGTGCTGCGGCTGAAGAGCTCCGGCAACCTGCAGGCCATCCAGGTGCTCAAGGTGCAGGGCAAGACGCTGCGAGACTCTTTCCTCGATGAAGGTAGGTACCGGCTGATGGCGCTGAGGGTTGGGCGTAGTGTAGATGGCTCCACCGTTACTACTGCCGATCCTGAGTGGGGCACAATAGTGGCCCGGGACAACTATCCAAGTAACGTAATAATTGAATGAGGACTTTACTCCACAAGAAATCGTACGGGTCGCTATTACTGGTACTGTAGTCTAGCTTTTCGGTGAATCGTCGGTTTGCTAATATTAACTCTGTTTTTAATGACTTCTTAACCGCCCAAAAATTAATCCAACCACCCACCGGTGCACTTAACCCCGAATGCTGTGCCTTTCCTATGCTGTCATCTCACACTGCCACCTGTGTCACAGGCTTCATCCTGAACAAGAAGATCGGCGTGCACCAGCCGAAGCGGATGGAGAACGCCCAGATCCTGATCGCCAATACGCCAATGGACACGGACAAGATCAAGGTGTTCGGCTCGCGAGTCAAGGCCGACTCGACGGCGCGGGTCGCCGAGCTGGAGGTGGCAGAGAAGGAGAAGATGAAGGATAAGGTGGAGAAGATTGTCAAACACGGCATCAACGTGTTCATCAACAGGTGAGGAGTAATGACGCTGGCTGTGGAGACGGCGACCAAGGGGGTAGAGCTATGGCGACGTTGATTTTTGGTGGTGCAATGACAGTTGCATCGTAATCAGGGGCGGATCCAGAAAATCTCCAAGGGAGGGGCCATTAGAAACCAGGAGGCCCCCCCCCCCATAATCCCACCTGTTGGAGGCCCCATCTTCCCACTTGTTGGCCCCCCCCCCAAAAAAAAAAAAACTGCGTCTATTGAGCTTATCTAGCTGTTCAGGCAACATCTCAACATCTGTGCAGGCTTGGAGGCCCTCTGTGCAGGTTAGGAGGCCCTGTAAAAGTGGTCATCTCTGTGAGTATAAGAGACCTCCAAGTTATGAAAAGCTTTACCAATCTTCTAACAAAGAAGTCTTCTCAGCTAGTCTTCTAAGAAATAACTAAGTGGGTAGGTTAAAAAAAACTCATCGGATTTCGGCCACTTTATTTTCAGGAGGCCCCCTTTTCAGCTTTTTAACTTTTTAACTTTTTATTTTATTTTTGAAAAAAATCGGCCAAGGGGGGGGGCCATGGCCCCCATGGCCCCCCCTTGTATCCGCGCCTGATCGTAATATTAAATCTGTTGTTGAATGGTGAGGTTTGCCCGTTTTTTTAGCTTTAGTTTTGCCCGCCACTCACCCCCAGACAGAAGCTTTGTCTCGGTCTCAGTCTGCAGTTATGCTCTGCCACGGTGCCCCCCCCCCCACCCCCCACCCCATCCATTCCAACCAACCCACCACTGTCAGCAGAAGCACCACCCTCACCTTGTGCCCACGCCTTCCCCATCAACAGACAGCTCATCTACAACTACCCGGAGCAGCTGTTTGCCGACGCCGGCGTCATGGCCATTGAGCACGCCGACTTTGACGGTATCGAGCGGCTGGCGCTGGTGACAGGCGGAGAGATCGTGTCGACGTTCGACCACCCGGAGCTGGTCAAACTGGGCAGCTGCAAAGTCATCGAGGAGGTGAGCGGCCCACTGCTGGGAGACGGGTGCTGTGTAGGGGAGATGGTGGTTAGTGTCGCTTTTATTTCATCGTGCGTGTGATGATGAAGTCGTGGCGGAGACGTTAGTTGATGTTCGGAAATGCAACTTGGTTAGTAAGTTAAGTTTTTTATTACCACGGTGGTCGTTTTGTTTAACCATGTCACCATTCTGCAAGCGCTCCTCGATCATATCTTTAATCTTTCGGAGGACTAGTGGGAATCGCCAAAAAAAAAAGTATCGGGCGATACTCCCAATGACGTCGCACCATCGCACCGTCGCTGCAGCTGCACTAATTCCACTTCTGGGTCTGCTAGGCACCCCAGACGTCCGTCCACGGCCGTCATCTGTCTCCCCTCGGCCACTGGTATATGTCCGACCTTTGTACCGGTCACCCTCCGCCCCTGCTGACTTATCCCCTCCCCTCCCCTCCACAGGTGTTTATCGGCGAGGAGAAGATGATCAAGTTCTCCGGCGTGCCGCTGGGCGAGGCGTGCACGGTGGTTCTGCGCGGCGCCACACAGCAGATTCTGGACGAGGCCGAGCGATCCCTGCACGACGCACTCTGCGTGCTCACGTCGACAATCAAGGAGACGCGCACGGTATTCGGAGGAGGTGGGTAACCCGGGAGATCAGGCACGGTGTTAGGGAAAGGAGGGATGTTAGAATACACGAGGGCAGCCTGACCCGGTTTGGCGGACATTTATTTAAACTGTGTACGGTGCACGGATGATACGAATGACGTTGGTACCTACGCACAATGTTTATGCAGTTCTGCTTTATTCGGATCTGATTTATGATCAACGCTCGCACAAATTATAGATGAAAATTTGATTTTAAGTATAATACGATACGTAGTAATAATGAAATGAATTTTAAAAGTCTTTGGTGATGTATGCTCTAGAATGGTAACGCCTCGTGGGTCCTTCCACTGCTTTCCGTCTGCTCTCCAGTCACCATGCTGACCCGCCCCGTCCGCTCCAGGCTGCAGCGAGACGCTGATGGCGGTGGCCGTGCTGGAGGAGGCGGCCCGCACCCCCGGCAAGGAGGCCGTGGCCATGGAGGCGTACGCGCGCGCGCTCCTTCAGCTGCCGACCATTATCGCCGACAACGGCGGCTACGACTCTGCACTGCTGGTCAGCCAGCTGCGCGCCGGCCACACGCAGGGGCAGAACCGGCTCGGCATCAGTGAGTAAACGATAGAGGGTGTGGTGGGGGCGATGGAAGGGGTGAGGCTAGAAGGGGATGGGGGGTTTAGTAGGAGGATGAGGATTTGGGAGACGTGTCTTTATGACGGAATGGGGACTTCGGGTACATTGGAATGGTAAAAGTGTCGTGCTTTGCATTACTTAAACGTTGTTTGCCGGGTTTTGGTATGCGGTGGCCCTGGCCACAGCTGACCGTGACTATTTTGTTAACGTGTAACTCTGCTTAGCACTGCCCAGGTACTGTAGGCTAGGCTTGTAGCATAACATTTAAGTCCACAATGCATGCTCATTGTTCTGCAGTGTGGCCAAATTGGTGATGTTGCGGGGAAAGTCACCCCCAATAAAAAGTATAATGACATCCTCAGAAATTTTAGAATTACATCATCACAACGTTTTTGTTGTGAAAGCATACCTAGTGAAGGAATAAAGACTAAAAATGTTCCAATGTACGATTCACACCGTCATACTCGTACTGTCGCGCTTGCAATGTTTTTTCATCTTTGATGACAATATTTGATTTTTCTACTTTCCACCAGAGCTTGACGTCAGGTATAGTTTTTCCACATAACTTGTAAAAACTGCACCTAAAATGACACTGAAGACGAGTTTTTTTGAAAAATAGTGACATCCTCATACGACTTTTTTATACATCCTCCCCCTAACGCTAAACCAATTTAGCCACACTGCTGTTCTGCTCCCGACTGCTGTCACTGACCGTTCTCCCTCTCCTCTGCAGACATGTTGGACGGCACTGTCGGCAACATGGAGGAGCTCGGCATCACCGAGTCGTTCATGGTCAAACAGCAGATGGTGGCCTCCGCCTCCGAGGCCGCCGAGATGATCCTCCGTGTGGACGATATCATCAAGGCGGCGCCGCGCAAACGGGTGGACGACCGCGGTCACTGCTAGTGTCCGGCGGCCCGCGTCCGTCCGCCACCGCCGACCGGCCCACCGACCGGCGGTCTGCCCGTGATTCACACCTACTTGTCTTTGTGTTTCATTAACGCTTGTGCTGACATGTCAACTGGTCAATAATAATTACCACACTCAGCGACTTGAGTTGTTTTCGGTGATGCCGCAGTGGCGCGGCACTGTTGGGACTGCTCCTTATCGGTGTTCGGAAAATATGTGCTCTGCTGTTGATAACATTCATAGACCATGCAGTGAAGACCGGTGAGGGACATAAAAAATGAGACAATATCGAAACAGAACTACCAGATTACCGCTATGTATGATACATCTAGTTTTTTTTCCGTGCAGAACATCAGACATCCAATAACCCATTTACCGAAGAAAAAAAACTTGGCAAAAAACGTCATTTGCCGACGAAAACGAGGTTGAACGACGCAAAAAAATCACAGTTCTCGTTGAATAGGGAAATGTTTGACAGACGGCAGGTCACTGCTTTTCGGTAAACAAGATAAAAACAGACTGAAAACGGTATTCTCGCTCAAACAAATCAATGGGGATAGATCATACGGGACTTGCACATTCCAGGCACTGGCTCAAGGGCTACCTCGTTCTCGACATCGGCCTGCCGTGTTGTGGATCTCGTTTGGGCTGGTCAGCAGGCAGACAGCTGGTTGCCCTTTGAACGCGGTGACGTCTGCCGGGTGGCGCGCTGTCCGACCGGGGAGTATGTTTTCTGTTGTGTTTACAAAAGGCTCGCCCTCGACTGGGGTACGTCACGTCTCGGCGAGGGGCGCCGAGTCCGCAGTGTCGCCGGGTGTCGCGGTCCTCAGTGGTAACTCGCGGCGCTGTGGTGCGGGTAGCGCTCGCTGCACAGCTCACGGTGCACAGTCGGGGTGCTGAACCGTGGCCTGTGGGCAGTGAGACACGCGGCCCGGCAGTCGAAAGGAAAGGAGCGTTCGTCATGTCAGGAGGCTCAGTGGTAAGTGTTCGGGAGTGAGATATAAAGTTTTCCAGCTCCGAAAGAATGGTGGTCTTCAGAGTGATTTCGGTGTGATCGGCACCGTTGTTGTTGTTCACGATAAAGATGGATATAAAACTGTGGAAAGCTAAATCCGTAGCACGTACATACAATCGGGCCTAAAAGCTGTAGTAGGTAGTCAGACCTGAGAACATGTTCATCGTTTTTCTTATTTATTTGGTCTTTAAGCTTCGTAATAATGTAAAGCATTTGGTCATTGATGGCTCTGCTCCCATGAGTCGGTATATGCTGTGAACGTGGGTCGCAAATATCGGGTCATGCAGGCCGTGCAGTGTGTGTGCCCGGCTCGGCCGGGTGGTGACAGTGGGGCGGTCACCGACCACTGTGCGGCCGAGCCCAGGTCCGCGTCCGTGTCGGACCGGCCGAGACGGAGGACACTGCACTGGTCTGCTTACGTAGTGAGTGCAATCCCTAACCGGAACAATAACAAAGCTGCCTAGTGCTTGCGCAGATGAGCATTACTCGTCAGAATGGTGTGTCGCCATTGAAAGAAACATTGCAAGCCCTCGTGGTTCCGGCCTAAGGCTCCATCTTCACATTGGATGGACCGCCCACCGGCGATAAGCGATTTATAATTATAATGCGATCTGTCGTAGACTACTACATTACCGTATTAAATAGGCGTCTGTAACTCTATCCATGATGCTTAGAGCTCACCATAAGTTCCATCTACCAGTGATTCCTGACAAAAGTCGATTGTACAGAGCCTGCAGGTGCTGGCGCGCGGCCGGCCCCTGCTGCTAGGTCGGGGCTCTGCCTGCTGTAGGGTGATCCGCGGCTCGGCCACCGCCGCCAGCCCAGAGGAGCGTGCCGCCGCCGTGCTACCGTTCAGCGCCATCCCCGGGCCCCGCCGACTGCCCGGCATCGGCTCACTGTGGCTCTACAAGACTGGTAAGTGAGTACGCAACCTGGGAGGTGTTGAGACGAAACGTCTCATTGCCGAGTATCAAGCGTCAGCATTTTATGTAAAGCAGCATTTATCGTAAATGAACGCTGATATTGGCGCAAATGTGTTTGTTTGGTTGTTAGTTGTTACCAGTTACCACCAACATGAGACCCATACACTAGTCACAACGATCCACGCTGTTCCTAACTGCCGACACCGTGGACGGGGCGACTCGAAACTCAATGAGCGCAGCAGCTATCGTAACTATATCCCGGCCGGGCCCGGGGGGTAATCCCAACCACCGCAGCCCGGGGGGGGGGGGCGTTTTTCGCCCCCCTTGTCTAACTCCGTAAATAAGGGAGCTACGGAAACAAAAGCGATACCAAACGAAAGGTCCTTACGAGACGATTCTAAAGCACCTAAAATTTTTGACCTCAGGTCAATTTTCAAGGTCAGAGGTCAAGGTCAAAGGCAAAAACCGGCACATGTGTAGTGATCTCAAACTAAGCCTTCTAGAGGACGGCAGGCTGCATCAAACCGGCAAAATTGGGTGTCAAACGAAAGAAGAGAATCTGAGGATTCCGAAACTGTGCTCCAAATCAAAAGTCAAGGTCAAGGTCACGCTCAAAATTGACCTCAAACGTGGCACTTTTTCGCACATCTTGCGTGCTAACTTCCAAGATGTTTTGAAATGTTTTGAGGCTTATCAGTTCCCTATTTGTGGTTCATCTTACGATACAAGGCTGCTCAAAGGTCAAGGTTACAGAAGAGTATCCCTGCTAGAGGCTATTTCACTAATTCAAGTTAGTTATAATAAATAAGACAATTTTGCCATCCGGAAGCTCTAAATGAAGGCTGAGAGGAAAATAGATGCCAGATTCGTGATCAGCGGATACAAATCCATCATAAACGACCTTTCATGTGTCAAGGTCAACCAGAGGTCATTCGAGGTCACATGAGGTCAACATAAAATTTGACCTTTTCCGAACAAAATATATATCATTCGACGCGGCTTGACAAGGCGAATGCGATGGTACCACTGCCGTAGCTCTAGGACCATTTTTGTCGAAGTTATTTGCGAAAAACTAAAACCACATTTCGGGGTCGTTGACCTGACCTCTGACCTCAGGTCACCAAAACTATTTTTCCATTTTTCTCTAGGTCAAACGCTACACAACCATGCTCGTAATTTGTCTTTATCTCTAAAACTCTATTTTTAGCAGCTATTTGAAGTTTGCGTCTGTGACGCCGAAGTTTGCCGTGCAGGGGTCTAGAAAAATGGACCTTGTGACGTCATCAAGGGGGCTAGGTCCAAATTTTTTACTTCAGAAGATGTCAAATTGATGGGAGAAAAGGTACTGAAAGTTTCGCTTTCCTATCCCTAAGCGTTCGGCAGCTATCGCAAATATTCGCCAGGGGGGGCGAAAAACGCCCCCCCCCCCGGGCCCGCGAGGGATATTGTTATAGTACACAAACACCGACGTACGAGGGTCACTTCTCGAGCAGCTACGTATCAAAACATGTCGATGTGTTACTTTTCTCCTGGTTTCAGGTCGGTATGATATGGCACGTTATCACGAGGTGCTTCAGGGCATGTATCACCAGTATGGACCCGTGGTCCGAGAAGACTTCGGGCCCGACACAGTCATACATGTGTTCGACTCAGAAATGGCAAAGTGAGTCGTTATTTTCACTGGTTTCACTTTTTGAGCCGTACCTATATCGCGCCAATGAATCGTCCCGAGATTAGAAGCTTCATAAAGAACCAAATGGCAAGTAAAATAGCAAAAAAAAATCATTTTCTTTTCCAGCCGCACCATCTTAGCCTTGTGCATATAGCGTGCTCCTGTGACTTGATAACCTGTGTATTGTGTAACCGGATGACCTGATGACCTCCGTGACCTGTGGCCAGGCAGGTTCACCAAAAGGACGGTAAATATCCTCACGTGCCACCACTGCAGGAAGCCGTCAGACTCTACCGGGAGAAGAACGGCATGAGTCCCGGCCTGGGAAACTCGTGAGTAGACCTGTCGCAATGCTGCCGCCGATCTATAAGTCCAGCACACAACAATACGGGCCGAGAGAATTAAATAAAATAATTTCATTTTGTACGGAGGACTGCGTCAGCTAGTAGGGACCCGAGTTAAAGGGACACTCCCACCTTAACATTAGGGGAAGTTGGGGCAATGCCGGAGTTGGGGCAAAGCCGAAATTCGAGATATTTCGAAAACCGTAAGACATGGATGCCACCTGTCAGTGATGCTCTGAAGCTTAAGTGACTACAATTATCGCATGTTTGTTACGAGTCGTCATTCGGAATACTTCGGCTGTGAGGGCGCCAAGAGCGTTTTCAAGGTACGCGTTCCTTGTACTACATGCGCCTTTGAAGCTGCATTTCTTACTCATTATGCTACCGTTTGTCTGGCCAATTCGGTCAAGTAATCTTCAGCATGTCTTTGCATAAGTGTGTTGCCTATTTGAAATTTATACGGCACGTTGAAAAGTTATGGGCCTGCAAATGAAAGTATGGCTGGCTGGGGTAATGCCGAAAACGTGCAATTACGCACGTTAAAGCACGCTACGTGGACTTTACTGCTGTAGAATAGCAACGCGAATTTTTAGTCACACAAATAACACTTTCAACCGACACAACGGCCTGTTACCTATAAGGAATTATTTACCTGGCATTTTCTTATTATATCACACAATCATAGGCGTCGCCAGACATTTTCGGTTGGGGGGGGGGGGGCAAAATCAAGTTTTGTGTTAAATCTTGCCTTTCCCCAGCCGTTACTCACTCGTTTTATATATCATTCGACGCGCAATGGTGCGAGGAATCCGATGGTGACAAAGTTTTCCGTCTAGCTATAGCATGTATTTTTTTACAAAAAATAAATAAAAAAGATTGAAATTTCTGGACAAAAACGACTGTTAGAATTATAGTGGCTGCGATTGCCGACGCACTGCAGAGGGCCCCTGTGCAGACTCTCGTCGCTCATGATCATTACCCAGAGGAAGGTGAAAAACGCTCCATTTGAATCGGATCACCTCGCTAAAACCTCCATTCACGCATGCATGCCGAGGTTTTACGTGAAATGCATAGGGCTTATCCCAGCCGCCGATTGTAGCTAAGAATTGGGCATTCGGCGGAGACTGAGAGAGAATGTCGGAAGTGTGAATCGGAAGTACATCATTCATCCTTGCTGCAGTGAGAAGAAGTGTTTTGTTCACTCGAGTGTGAACAAAAAGTTTCTGGTTTTTCGAGTGAAGGGAAGCGCTGCAAACGCGACCAAAAATATTTAACGGAACCAAAAGTTACGCACGGCATAGCGGCAAGGGATCCCTTAGAGATAGGACTGCGACTTCCAGGCCATTTCAGGCCACCTAGGGTCAGTGTGGACTCTCAGAAGCCTGCTTAGGATCCCGGAGATCGGCGTGGGTCACCCCAAATATTTACGTGTATGTGGTGCTTTAGGGCTTTCCGAGCCTAAGGTGGGCCCGGAAAGCCCTTTAGGGCACACGGGCTTTCAGAAGCCAGTGTGGGCGGCGGGCGCTAAGAGACTAGGCCCAGGGTGAGCCTGGAGCCCTCGAATAACAGTGTGAACCGTCGGGGTCTGTGTCGAATCCTTAAGGACCCTACGTTGGTAGGGACATAAGAAACATGTGTTGCGGCCCTCAGAGGGACACGTGAGTTGTGACCCCTCAGATGCCGGGTTGGGGTTAGTAAAGTCGGTCGCCTCAAAAGTTCGGCTGAACTATCAGAGGCCAGTTGAGGTTTTCAGAAATTTTCGAAGGCATCCTCAAAGATTCGTGTGGCCCTTCAGAGGTCTACGTATGTATAATGTCCGCAAAGATCCCTGTATGGGCCCTCTAGAGAACATGGACACCAGTGGGACTCTCAGAGGCCGGTTTGGGCCCTAGAATCCTGTGTGAAAAGCAGGCTCATGAGCCCTGCGGCACTTGAACGGTACTTGTGCCTGTCGCAGACATTTGACGAGAGTTGAGAAAGGCCCCGAAGATTTCGTGTCACGCTTTGAACGAAAATTATGTGTCAGCACTCCAAAACTTATGAAAATCAGCTGCAAAATGTAATAAAGAATCAACTAGGAACATGGCATGAATCATGGCATTGACATTTCCGAGTCTGGAGTCGGAGTCTTGAAGATTTTGGCGACTGCGACTCTGACTTTGGTTTGAACTGCACGCTCCAACAGAGTCTGACCTCACAGGCATTCTCAGAAAGGTACCCCCATTTTGCCCCGACTCCAAAATCTCATCGGATCTGTATCGATCTCAGGGGGTGCCCGGTCCGAGGTTGGGGGGCAAGCTGCCCCGCTTGCCCCCCCGTGGCGACGCTAATGCACACAATTATAACTTCCAGTGTGCACCAAGCGTCCTCAAGCTCTTAAAACGCGTGTGATCTTTGATAAATTCTGGATAAAGTTTGAGATAAAGTGGCAAAACATCAATGTCGGCATTCCCCGTAGATCATTTTTCCCATTTTCGGCTTTCCCCGCAGTCCGGGGCAACGCCGAAAAAGTCACTTCTTTGATATTTTTAGTTTGTGCGCTTAACGGTATGCGAATTCATCAAATGCGCCTGGTATGTTTGAAAGGCAAAAGACTGGCCTCTCGAATGACGCCAACAAGAATAGCTTATGTTGTCTACCTTGCGTGCTACGGGCGTCAGAAAAAAAGTATTCGGCGTTCCCCCAACTTCCCCTAGTTTTGAGTTGAGATAGCCAAATTGGTGGCCATGGCCTGCAAATACCGGTTTGGGCACTCACAACATCGACAAATGCTTTAATTCGGAGATATGGAATTTCAAACTTGCAGTTTTCGGATTCTAAGGGGCTAGTGCATTGGTATGCCCCCTTAGAATTTGTGACGTCAGCGGAGATCTAACGATTTTTAAATCTTTTACTAAAACGTTTGGTAGCACGCGGTGGTATATGCTGCTTTGCGCGCAACAAATGCCGCACTTTCAAATAAAGTCGCTAGGAACAGCGGAGATCCCAAAAAGTAAACAAAAGTAAAAGTCTAATATCTTGAAAACCGGTGAATATTTTTCGATGAAATTTGGTAGATATTCGTTTTCGCTCTTTCTGAACCGAGCGACATCACTTTCGTGCCAATTCATTAACTTTTTTGAAGGTGGGAGGGTCCCTTTAATTTAACTTACATTGGTGATCTTCATTTCCTCAAAGTGGAAGCAATTATGTTGCCTTGACTCTACGCTCTGAGCTCTTCATTTATAACAGTGTGATAAAACTGTCGCTCTGTTTTTGCGACATAGATATCCCCGTCCGATGACTAACCTCCCCCGGGTCTCCCAGGAACGGCGAGCGCTGGTACCGGCTGCGCAGCGCTGTCCAGCAGCTCATGATGCGCCCCAGGGAGGTCAGCTGCTTCCTGCCGCTGGCCGACACGGCTGCCCGCGCGCTGGCCCACAGAGTCGACAGTGACGTCACGGCAGACGGCCAGCTGACCAACCTCACCCAGCTGGTCTTCAAGTGGGCGCTCGAGTGTGAGTGACCGGTGGGAGGTTATCAAGTGCATTGAGATGATGCCTTGTTGAGCTGTGTTGCCGTGATGATACGATATATGGCACCAGCACATTACAGGAGTTCAGTTTATGTAGGTGGAGACAGTGGATGTAGGTAGACCACAAAGCGTGAGACGACGCTTATATCGGAAGCTTGTAGTAACCATTGACCAATGACAATCCGTCACCAAAAACTTAAAATTCGTATAAATCACCAGCGCGGTAGGTACAGGCCAGGTTGCATGAGCTGCTGGGAGGCGATATACCAGTTACCACTGAACTCTACACAGGGTGCAATGCGGCACAACATCTATCAGGCGCTTAACAGGCGGAGTCATCTGTTGAGTGAAACTGGAACTGTAAGGTGCAATGCGGCACAGCATGCGTCAGGCGTTTGATGGGGAACCCATCTGTTGGCTGACATTCGTGACTCGAGACAGCCATCTGTTGGCTGAACCTAGAACTATAAAATGCCTTGCGGCACAGCATACGCCAGGCGTCCAATGGGAAAGCCATCTGTTGGGTGAAACTGGAACTACAAGGTGTCATGCGGCACAGCATCTGTCAGGCGTTCGATGGGACAGCCATCTGTTGGCTGAAACTAGAACTAGTGTCGTGCGGCACAGCATGCATCAGGCGTCCAATGGGAAAGCCATCTGTTGGATGAAACTGGAACTACAAGGTGCCATGCGGCACAGCATCTGTCAGGCGCTCGACGGGACAGCCATCTGTTGGCTGAAACTAGAACTACAACGTCTTGCGGCACAGCATGCATCAGGCGTCCAATGGGAACGCCATCTACCGTGACAAAGTGTCATGCGGCACAGCATCTGTTCGACGAACAACCGCCAGTTGATTGCGCCCATGCGCTTCTGTCCATACCCCGATACTTCGCCCTGACGGTCGTCCACCCCGATCTCTACGCCTGATATACCTACCCTGACGATCGCCCACTCTGATCCGTTTATCCTGCCTGACATTAGCCGCCACTGTGTTCCGCCAGCGGCCAGTATGGTATGTGCCGAGCGGCCTCTGGGCGCTCTGGCTGGCGGGGACGCCGAGCGACGAGCCGAAGAGCTGATCGCCGCCAACCGGAGGGTGATGCGCGCCTCGGCACAGCTCAAGTTCTCCTCGCTCCCCCTGTACAAATACATCAGCACTCCGAGCTGGAGACGGCTGGTGGCTGCGGAGAACTGCCTGACCAGGTAAACAGTCAGCCAGCGAGAGCTGAGTTCTTTTGTCAATGCTGTCCAGAGGTGTAATCAACAGACAGCTGCACTGCACAATCAAGCACATGTAACTAGGGTTGGTCATAGGAAGCACGGTCAAATCAGAGACGCAATAAACTGTAAACGAGCGAACTGTTAGACCTAAGGTGGAATTCCAACATTCTGTCAGTCCCGGACTGGTCCTATTCACGTAAAGACGGGCACGGTCAGTTCAGCGCCATCTGGACAGGGCTAGATGTCACTGGTGAGTGGTGAAGGTTGCCGCTTCGATGGCTGAGTTGAGAGTAACTGTTTAATTAGCTGTCCAACATTTCCCAATTACGTTTGGGAGCTAAACATCAGCAAAAGCGAAGAGATGACATACGAAGCAATGCATGCATGCCAAAGTGTTCCTACCAAACAACTTAGGTGAAGCCGCTGATGCACACAACAGTCAATCGTTCCCGGTTCCCGTTTTTACACTAAGTTCTCAAAATTTCTGCTGTTTTCGAAAGCCAAACGACACATTGTCAGAACGTTTGGCGCTGTCCTCATGGGCATTCTAGATTTGTTATCATCACTGCATGCTTTGCTTCTTTAAATTGACGGGGTTGGTGACTTTTTTTTTGTATTTACAGTTTTACTTTGAATCTGTTCAACGACACCATCAAGGAAGTGGAGAGTCTCGTCAGTCGTGGGCGGCTGGAAGAAGGCCAGTACAGATTCCTCAGTTTCATGCTGGCTTTGCCGAATGTTTCAGAGGATGACACGCTTATCATTGCGTTCTCAATGTTCAACGACGGCCTGTCCACGGTACGTGATAAACGTTTATATTTAGTTCCTGTCATGGGCTACACGAACGAGTGGTTAGTGACTCTAAATTGGCTGGCTGAATATTCAGTATTTTATGACCGACTCATCAGATTTGATGCCAGATTAGTCTGAAGAATGGTGATGAATCGTACGTATAAAATGTATGGCGTTATCGGTCGCAGTTTGAAACAATGACAGACAATTTATAGTAGCACAACTTATTTCAATACATGTCTCGTAAATTGAATGTCTGAATAGCGAGCATGGAAGGATGCCATGAGATGTATGGTGTGTGCTGACTGCTGACAGACGGTGCCAGCGCTGCTGATGGCTCTGTGGTGTCTGTGTCTGGTATCTGCTGATGATTACATGTGTTGTGCTCTGACAGACGGTGCCGGCGCTGCTGATGGCTCTGTGGTGTCTGGCCAACACTCCGGAGGCCCAACAGACCCTCTACCGCGAGATCAGTTCGGCACTCCCCGAGGGCAGCCAGCAGCCGGTCACCGCCGAGGTCGTCAACAACATTCCATTCATGAAAGCCGTTCTCAAGGAGACGCTAAGGTGGGTGCTTCAAAGTGGTCGTGAAAGCCTACACGCTGTTTGTTTTTGGCTGAGTGAGTGCGGCTATTAAAACGCGCGGAAACATGCAGAAGTTTAACGTCTGCGCTCTTCAAGCATAATTGGAGGCTGTTAACTTCCTGTGCCAAGAAAAAAGCAGGTATGACAGGAACTGTGCTCTGAGTGGTTCTGATGTAAAAAAGAGGGAGTCTGAATGCATTGCAAGCGACGCCAGTCAAATCATAGCTTGATATGACATTTGATGCAAGTTGCGCACAAAATACACGTATAAGCCTATTCTTTAATCAGAGCATGATAACATTGCACTTCAAAACATCTAATGTCCTGATAATTGTCCACAGCTTTCACGAATAAAGTCCCCAACGCCATTGAATGCATAGGAAATGCATCTCCGTTCCAGACTGTACCCGATTGGCACCGAAGTATCACGGATAACGGACAAGGACATGGAGCTTGGCGGGTACCATATACCGGCCGGGGTAGGTGGCAATACTTACCAGCCCGTATCTGTGTTTTCTGCTAGCTCAGGATTGTTTGTCGTTCAGCGACATTGGTTCTACCGACTGGGCTATTTATTTGAAATTATTATTACTATGAGATTTTTAATAATTAATATCTTCACGAAGCTGGGTGTCAGTTTATAACAAGCCATGAGCACTGAGCAATGAGCAATGGGCGTGACTCCGTAAGGCACTGACCACTAGCTGAATGCCGATTCCGCCCGGCAGACACACGTGGACCTGAACCAGTGGGTGCAGCTGCGGTCGGAGGACAGTTTTCCCGAGCCGGCTACCTTCCGACCGGAGCGGTGGCTAAGACAGAACCGGCAGCAGATCGACCCGTACCTGCACATCCCGTTCGGACACGGAACCAGGATGTGCGCCGGTGAGTCACCGTAGCGTGGCGGAAGGGCTGTCGCGGGTTACGTGATTTCGTCACCCTACCTTAGTTTATTTCACACAAATAAACATTGGTAGGGTTTGATTATGTTTGTAGCAAAGAAAGGAATCAACCAACATGAGAGGAATGTGAAAGTGGAACGATTTCAATTTCTCTCCAAGCCCGGCGGATGTTTCTAACAAAGCTTGGGATCAAAGCTTCGTCGACTTCCTTTTTGACCCTTCTCAGTTTGTTGCAAAAGTTCAACGACCTTCCTTGTTATCCCTCAGGCCGTCGGTTCGCGGAGCAGGACTTTTGTCTGGCGCTGGTGCGGCTGCTGCAGCGGTTCGAGCTGCTGCCGGCTGACGGACACCGGCAGCCGCCGAGGCAGCTCTACGAGACGCTGCTGATGCCCGACCCGCCCGTCCAGATCCGCTTCGTCCGCCGCTGAGGTCGTCCAACACACTGCTTCGTCAGACGACGCTGAGGTGATCAGGAGCCGCTTCGTCGGAAGTCTCTGAGTGAGTTAGGCGGGATCTGCATCGTCAAAGCCGCTTGATGAACGGGATTCGCTTTATCAGAACCGCTCAAGACGGTGCACTCCACTCCAGACGCTGATGTTCGTTCGAGACTGTTTGATCGGGAAGTCCTGAAGCCCACTTCAGGCTGCTTCACCAAATACTGGGGAATCTCATCAGTGCGGCACAGACTAGTGCGTGCTGCTCAAGTCGCCTGGCTTCGATTACAGTACTCCAAGTATCGTTGAGGCTCTTACGAGTGTCTCGCCAAATGGGTTGAGGACGAAGCTTGTTGGAAGCTTCACGGGTAGACGCCGCTAAAGACTCGGTATATTACGATTTCGGTGCATTGTGTACGGTTCAAGTGTCATTTGTGTAAAGGATGATTCACCAAGCGTTATTGGAGCATGGACATAAAAATATAAATGTAAAGACCGGACCGCAAGGATTTAATCAACAACAAATGCCTATTCCAGATAAGTTGCCATTTTCATTGGCGAATATCACTAGCGCAGGTGGCATCGCCCCAACTTGATTAGACGAAACGTTCAGCACTTTTGTGCATGGGGATTTAACTGATTCATCTGAAATTCGTCCCACTTAAAGATGAAAATAAAGACTGAATCCCTGCCGAAAAGACAGCCTTGAGCCAAATATTCAACATTGCTGTTGTTTATTAGTCGTGAACTATGCACCATCATTTCATTTTTTGATATAAATAATTAACATTTCATATATGATTGAATCATCGCAGACATAAGGTGGAGGTACGGTATTCTTTGGCGCGGCGCCCACTTTTGGTCCGGGCCTTTGATCATCAGGAGCAGCGGGGATCTTGGCGCAGGGACGGCTCCGACCCGAAATGACCGGCCTGACGTCTGTTCCATAGTTCTGCGCCCGTCCCCGCCGGCTGCAGGGGCCGGTCCGCGCCGCGCCGGCCCCGGTCACGTGTGGTGACGGTTCGGGGTGTCGCCGCCGGCCTGGAACCGCTCGCCCGGCGGCGGGTCGGCCGCTGACCTGACGGCCGTCTATTCTGGTCAGTCGCCCAGACCCGGACGGCGGCCGTCCAATGCGCTGTCAGGGGCCGTTCCAGCGGCGTGGCCGGCCAGCACCGCCCCTAACTCAGGCTCGGCCCGGCGCGCTGTGATGGTTGGCCGACGCGGCTAATCGCGGCCGCCATTCGGCCGCCGACGACCTGTCATCGGCCGCCGCCCCGGGCGCTGCCGACCCCGCCCAGCGACACACAGTCAGACGGAATCACGTAAGGCGCGGAGCGACGCCAGCTCACGGGACCGCCGCAGCGGACGGTCATTGGCGTCAGCATCCGGCCAGTGCCGTGAACTATCCGCTCAGTAACGGGGAAACCCGCGACAGGCTGCTTGGCAGTGCTGGCGGTGATGCAATGCTTCTTGTAGGTGCTTACAGTACCGGGGAAGGGCTCGTCTTTGAACCATGGACAGAGACGACATCATGAGCTGCTATTGTTCCTATTGTTCCGGTCACATAAAGCAGTGGGCCATTTGTTAGGTCGAAGGATTCTGTTTACTGCGCAATGATTCACAATTTATTTCTAACCGGTTTGGTATACTCAGCTTTGTGAAGAGTGCCAATATCTGCAAACATGACTTCTCCCCGAGCATGTTTTACCCTGAGCAGCTTTTGTACCTCTCGGGTAAATTTGGTGTTAATTTGATTGCGATCGCCTCATAACCCGAGGAAATTTTTATCTGGTCACTGCTCACAATTTTTTTTATTTTATCTAGCCCGTGTTTGACAAAAAGAAGGATTATTAGTTGTAGAATAACATATAAGAAAAGAAAACGGGTTGAGCAGTGCATTAAGTACCTATGAGTAAAACAGACACAGGACAGTTCTGAAAATTCCTGATATCAAGTTTCCGCGAATGTTGGGTTATACCTACTTGCCCAATTTTCGAAATTTCAGTAAGCGATTAACGATCCACTGAGCTCATCTCTTCCCCGAGCCACACCTTCCATTTTCTGCACTCTTAGATAGTACAAACAGGATTTATAACAAACTTGGTCTTAAGCGGAGAGCCTCTCTCAAGTTCATAGCTGTACTGAGTCATGCATGAGTGTATGTATAACCCGCACCGTGGTGATGGCCTGTGTTTTCCGTGTCGTGCTGGGGGGCGTTTTTACGTCCCCCCGCAAGACCGTCAAAAATAATGACGAAAACACTTCAGTCATTTTTTAGGTCAGCTCAAAGGTCAGGTCACCAGAGGTCACCAAAGATCAAATTTAATTCATTTAAACAATTTTGGGAACTGCCAACGGCTAACTCGGGAACCAATAAGAGCTACAGCGCCGCGGAAAAGCGCATTTGATAGCTCTTTCGGACCTTTCTGGATATTGTTCTCAGATTTGATCTCAGATCAACGGTTTAGCCTCCAGAGGGCAACAACTCTAAAAATAGCCGTTTTCACGAAAAAAATGTTTTTTTCGGTAATAACTTTTGATACACAAGATCCACGACATAATATAAAATATTTGCCAGCATCGTGTTCCTCTCGTCGAGACGCGTCGAATTAACTATACGTTGACCTTGAAAGGTCATTTTGAAAACTTGACCTCAGGTCAAGGTCATGACCTGACCGGAAAGGGCCATGTTGCATATCAGTTGATCCGTATCGTCGAGCTGAACACATCTGACGTGTTTTCACCGCTCTAGCACGTCGCTATCAAAAGTTATAACAAAAAAAACTGCTGGCGACCGTTGATGACGTGAGATGACCTCAGGGGCACACAGAGGGGTCACAGGTGCATTTTCCGATTCACTGTGTCATGTTTACGTATGAACAGATGATTGAGAGGGTTTTGAACGACATTCGTCCAAAAGAGGCGCATTTCAATTTTCTCCCATTGACTTATAATGGAGAGGTCGCAAAATTGACCTGAACTTAGGTCACAGATGTAAAAATCCGAAATAAACCATTTATACACACTATTACTCTTATCAATCGCTGAAAGTTTCAAAGTGATCGTTCATTCGGTGTAGCCATAGCGAGCCTTTAAACTTTTTCTGAGGTAAGGTCACTTGACATGATGTGACCTGACCTTGAACGACCCGGGTCTCAAATTTTCACAACATGTGCGGAAAAGTTGTATGATCAGGTATACAAAAAACGGGGCGCTGCGCGACGTCCTTTTTTGAAATATTCGCAAAAACCTGAGGGGGGGGGCTAAAACGCCCCCAGTACGGCGCGGCCGCGCCGTACTAACCCGCGCGCCGCGCGCGGGTTAAAAATCTATACAATGAAAATCAGTTGCCAGGCAGGTGCGATAAGCGAATAAGGATCAACTAAAATTATTCCAAGTCTTTTTTAACAATTATAATTACTTCATGGTGTCTTGTATCATGGAAAAGTGTCTCCGCCGTCTACCTACATGCGCTTGAAATGCGAAAGGCATGCACATTTTCTCACATCGCTGTCGAGGCATTCCCATCAAACGGACAAACTATTCCATCTCTCCGAGATACGGCGTGTTTAGCAGGCACTAGACGAGCCGCACATACATCCGTCAGTGACCCCCGGCTCACACACCATCGTCCGCCGGCCTCGGTCAGCGTGTCGGGTCGTCTGGTGGCTGCACAAACATACCCGGGCAGAGCTGTCTCCGAACGCTCGAATTAGCCGCCTCTGCGGACGCGAACAGTTGCGCGCGTGCCAAATGTAAGACAACACCCCGGCCCTGCCGGCGGCCGGTGAAGTGATCGAGCCCGATGCCAAACCGTCGCTGGAGCCACTACACTGGAGCCGCCGCCGCCGCCGCCGCCGCCGTCGTCGGGCGGCGAGTCTGCGCAGTAGCCGGCCGGCGGCGAGTCTGCGTCCAGTCGCGCGGTCGCACAGCCGTCCCCGAGCGCCGCTCCGCGACACGCCCGCTGCCGCCACCGCCGCACCATGGCCGACAAAAAGGACGAGATCCGCGCCAACATCGAGGGCAAGGACCTGCTGGGCACCTACGGCATCTTGGTGGCGTTCCTGCTCTTCATCTACGTGCTCTACAACGTCATCTACTGATGATGCCATCCAGGCTGGCGCGCGAAGACGCGTCGATGGACACAGGTGAGTACTGGCCACTGATGTACCGATGCTGTTCCCAGTGAAGTGCCGCCTTTTCGCCTGCCGAGACAGTCTTTTCGTGTATCGTCTTGGTTCGACAGGTGATAAGGAGAGAAAATTCTACCGCATGAATGCTACTGACGGGCACTACACATTACATAGTACTGGATCGTCTGTTTTGATCGTCTGCTCCGGTGACGACTCGGGCCCTGGACCTAAGCAAAGTCGGTTCTCTAGTTCTCTAGTCGCATTTAATTCCGAGGGCGACTTATTTAAATAAGCGAACCAGCTTTAATTTTTCGACGAAATGCATAGTTGATTGACTGGATGCGGTGTTAATTTCGGCAAGTAATGTACCTGTTCAAACCGAAGGTCTCCTGCCAGCTGTAGTTGCGCCCTCACACAGTTAGGCTAGGCCGAGGAAAAGTAACTCAAACAGCGTATGCCGTCTGACCACCTGTTGCACTTGAGTCGGCTGGGGCCGTGGTCTGAGTTGAAGTCTCCGGGCTCTGTCAACTCCCAGAGCTGACCGGAGCAATCACGCGCTGCGTGAAACTATGCGCACAAGAGTCCCAGACGTACGTATTCAAGTGTTTCCAAAAGGCGAAGGAGAAACTGCACCATTCCGTCGGGAGGCAATGCACCGAATTGTTGTTTTTTCGGAAGCGATAAAAGAATGTTTCCAGCACAATGCAGTTTTGTGTCCAACCTTAGCTTATGTCATGTATCTCGTGCGCTGTCACGTTTCCGCAATGTTAGGTCACAAAAAAGGTCAGGTCGGTCGCCCTGGGTCGACCCAAATGATATGCCGATTTTTTAAATCTGTTCCATTAGTTACATGAGTTGTTCAGCTTAATGATATTAAATGTAAGCACAATGCACATCCTAGCAAGACGGGTCTGATAGTCGAAAAGAGCGCTTAAATGACAACTCTTTATGACAAGTGAGGTAAGGTTCCAAGGTCAATGCTTCAGGGTCAACTCGAGGTTACTAAATTTTGCTTGAGGTCACCTCATCATCTGAGGACAGTTTGCAAATCATTTGAGATGTTTTGGTTGTTTTTAGGCTTCTCAAGCTTTTCATACGTTGCAGTTGACTTCCCAACAACATGACCTAGACGATCACTAGAAATGTTATTTAGATTATGACAGCATCAAATGATTTATTGGCCTCTAAGGAAATTGATAGAATAGACGCTGAGTCCCAATAATCTGATACTGTAGTTTTCTTCTCCATTATGAAGCGAAGTGAGTTCGGTTTTACACCAGATTTGGCAGGGGATAATAGTTCATGAAGTACGAAAAGCCTTCAACAAATCGCCTTTTGCCAGCAATCGCAAATTGCCCAGTGGGCATTTAGCAGATAGTTACTAGACATAGA